GGGGCTGAATAATTTTGCACGGCCAATTTTTCAGTTTTTTATTTGTTAGAAAAGTTTGAAATATCCAATAAATTTCGTTCCACTTCATGATTGTGTCCCACTTGTTGTTGATTCTTCACAAAAAATTACAGTTTTATATCTTTATGTTTGAAGCCTGAAATGTGGCAAAAGGTCGCAAAGTTCAAGGGGGCCGAATACTTTCGCAAGGCACTGTAGTTCCAAAACAAGAACAGACTTGTGGCCGATGAGGTTGCTGTGGTGAATTAACAAAAACTGACCTGCTAAGTGTATATGCACCAGCAGGACTGAATAAAGTTATAATTCTATTTCAACTGCCTAGGGATCCTCAGGGCCCTAGTTTGAGGATCCACGGCATCTGATCAAGATGTATTGGCTTAAGTGGTGTTTGTGCGTGTCCATGTTCATTTCAGTAATTTGACGAAGAGGAAAAATGTTACAAGCACCCGTGCAACTAGCAGAAGGGCTGTACTTGTTCTCCTCATTAAAGCAGGGGTGTGTTTTGGTGTAACATGAAATTATCCAATCAGTGTGTAAACTCACATCCCCTTTAAGAGAAGTATGAGTCTGAACATTTGGTGGATTGCTAGTATACTGATGGACTTGTCAGTAAGATTTTCCACTGAGGAAACAAATCTGCTCATGCACGAGGTGAAGTCGCACAATCACTAAACAAAATGGTATTTGTTATATATACATATATATTGATGTTCACAATACCCAAAGAACACAATGTGATCTTTTTATTTTTTAAGTTTTGCATGTCCTGCGCAGCGTGTCCCAGGGTATAACAAGCACGAGCATTGTGCATGCACCTAAACAGCCATGCTTCACAACACCGTCAAAGCACCCATTGACTAGTGATGATGATTGGACTGTAGACCACAGACCTGTTTTTTTTCTGGTCAGTGGCACAGTCACTTTGTGCGTCCTCATATTACCAACGTGCCCAAAATTTACCTGGACACACCCACTTTCATCCGGACACACCTGCCAGTGTGAAGTTGACAAACCTCTGCTTGGTAAAAAGGCAACCTGATGTGCATGTCATGAAAACAGTAATTGTGCAAGTAGGGAATTAGGAATCACAGACACGCTACCTGCACCGCACGCCACGCCACGCGTTTGTCACAAGATAGGGCCCTCAGTGTGTCTACCCTGGTATCTTTTGTTCGGAGGTGACTGGCATGCTACAAACAGCATTGTTAGTGTTGAGCTTCACTTTTCCTTGTCATGAATTCTCAAAAGCCCTTCTCAAACATGAGATAAATAACACTGCTGGTTTCATCAATCTGTTAAAGCAATGGCTTTCTGCCAGGCAGGCAAAGGTCACTTTTATATTAATGTTCCTCACAGCTTCAGATGCACCCACATACTACTTCCAGTGTATACTCCAGTGGTGAAAAAAGTGTCACCTCAGGTCAGGGTAGTAAAGGTATGAACAGAGGAGGCAATTGAGCAGCTGAGGGACTGTTTTCACACCACAGACTGGGACATCCTCTGCAGTCCTCATGGAGAGCACATAGACAGCCTCACACACTGTGTTTCAACTGGACTAGATTTCTAGGACGAAGATGTTTCACCTCTCATCCAAGAGGCTTCTTCAGTTCTGACTGACTGGTGTTAAGCCGGAGATATTTATCCCCATCGGTGGTATTTCAGTCCTTTGAGGACCAACAATGTCCCCTAACGACTGAGTCGTTATAGCCCAGTATCGGGGAGAGTCGTTACCTGTCTTTGAATCCTCCCCTGTGGCCTGACGCCTGTTGTCCTGGTGGGCATGTTTGGGCAGAGACCTCAAAACAGGATTGTAGATGGATGACAAGTTGTGTCTTAGTCCACCACCCCTATTTAGTGAGGGGTGTTCTATTTTTACAAAAATAGCTTCCTTAACTCCTCTCTCAAACCAGCGATGTTCTCTGGAGAGGATCTGTAACTACCTCACAAACAGATCTCAGTTTGTCTGGCTGCGTGACTGTGTCAGACGTGGTGGTCTGCAGCACGGGGGCGCCCCAGGGGATGGTGCTTTCTCCCTTTCTGTTCACCCTCTACACATCGGACTTCAAGTACAACTCCCACCACTATCACCTACAAAAGTTCTCTGATGACACCGCCATTGTTGGATGTGTATCTGGGGGGAACGAAGGGGAATACAGGGGGGTTGTTACTGACTTTGTGGAGTGGTGTGAGGAAAATCGACTGGTCCTGAACACCAGTAAGACTAAAGAGATGGTGATTGATCCCCGGCAGAAATCACCAGCACTCACTTCGGTGAGCTTTCAGGGCTCAGTCACTGAGATTGTGGACACCTTTAAATACCTGGAGGTCCACCTCAACAACAAAATGGACAGGGGGCACTCCTTTGCACTTTTTATGATACTGTAGTGGCAACTGCTGTTTTTTACGCTGTTGTGGGCCGGGCGGGAGGTAGCACGAACAGGGACAGAAAGAGACTAAACAATCTGGTCAAGAGAGCTGGTTCTGTCCTGGGCTGCCCCCTGGATTCCATCGAGGAGGTGGCGGACAGAAGGATGCTGGTAAAACTAATATCCATCATGCATGACCCCTCCCATCCCGTGCACCACACAGTGGTGGTTCTGAACAGTTCCTTTAGCGCCTAGACTGTTACATCCCCAGTGTAAGATGGAGTGTTACCGTAGGTCGTTCCTCCCCACAGCAATCAGACTGTACAATACATCATTGCAGTGATAAACTAGGTGAAAGTATGAGGGACTATGTAATAGTCAACTGAGGTGCAATACTCAAATCCTGGGGTAAAATGCATGGTTAATATGCACAAATGTAAATTCTGTTCTTGATTATTCAAATATTTGATTCTGTCTATTTTTGAGTACTTGGAATTTATTTACCAAGATATGTGTGTGGTGTTTATCATGGTGTTATGTTGTTTGTTCTCCATTGCTGCTGAAACACTGAAATTTCCCCATTGAGGGATCAATAAAGTACCTACCTACCTACCTACCTACAACCACGGCAGAGAGAGCCACGGTATGTGTGGGATTTTTTTGACATATGAATGAGATCGTTGTAATTTTATGTGACAAACGGTTAATGCAACTGTATGCAGTTTAGACCTGTGGTGTGTTGAAAGTGATACATAAATGATACTAGGTCTGACCTAGAAAAACACAGAAAAGTGCCCAGGGTGCCCAATCAGACATGAAGCTGACACATTCAGATGGATTAATGGAAAGGACTGCATGTCTGAAAGGGGCTCATGTCTGAACTCTACTGGATGGATGAACAGTTTCCTTCCAAAAGATATTCCCTCATTTACTGTATTGATCATGCTGGGGGAGACAATGCTATGTTATGTATTATAGTATTGGTCAACTTCACCTTTACATGAAGAACTCAATTAAGGCTCAGCACAGCTTCTGACTTACATGGTAGCAAAATTTAAAGGCAATGTCAGACCACAGAGAGCTATGCAGTTAGTAAGTCATGGCCAAAAATATCGGCACCCCTGCATTTCTGTCAGATAACACAACACTTATAGAAAATTGTTGCAATCACAAAGTCTTTGGTATTCTCATGTTTATTTTGTTGCTTTGCATTGGAACCTTACAAAAAATAGAGGAAAAGCCAAATCTGTTATATTCCACACAGAACTCCAAAAATGGACTGGACAGAATTAGTGACACCCTCAACATAATATTTGGTAGCACACCCTTTGGAAAAAAAATAACTGAAATCAATTGCTTCCTGTAACAATCAGTGAGTTTTCCCCACCAGACTGAGTCCTCAATGGACACATTATTCTTTTCATTGGGATCACACCTGGCTCAGTGCACTTATTTTCATAATGGTTCATCCGATTGTTCCACTAATGTTTGAGTGAGACAAGCTTTTTCCAGCTAGGCACACTATCAGTGCTGAGTCAAACTTAATGCAGCAAGGCCACAATCATCCTAGTATTCATAAGCCATTTGATAGCTGAAAACTGAAAACACAAGCACAAAAATCCATTTACACTACCCAAAACAGTGCTTTCTCTCTTGCTTTTCATCTGTGTTAGCTCTGAAACAAGATGATGAAAAAAGACTGTAACAGAGACACCTTCAAATGAATGTAACCCAGTTGTATAGCAGCTGATCCAAATCAAGATTCCAAAGGATTATTAATGGGGTGTACTGTAGAGCTGTCTACACTGAGACAGAACACAAATTTATGCACAGACCTTCGGGGAACAGGATTCCTAAAAATCAGAGGAGCAGAGTGACCCGAGGTGCGGTCATGGTTTGTTTTCTACTCTCCAGCCTGCTGAGTGTGTTGTGGTACAAGTAAAGAAACTTGGGGAGGATGTCAAGGGTAAGGCTGTCAACAAGCCAAGAGAGGAAATGTGTACACAGAGAAAAACAGAGAGAAGACTGACCAGGAAAGGGAATGACAGCAGTACAGCCTATCATAAGGGAAAGAACACATGCTGACAGCCAGGTTTGTGGAAAAAAAACGCTACTCTGTAATGCAGGTTTAGAGTAGCTTTTGTGATACTGGGGACATGCTTAAGTATTTATGTCATCACATGTTATTTTTAATAAAGAAAGCAGTGTAAAGCAAGTAATTACTTAAGTTCCTAAATTAAAACAAACTTTCCCAAACACGAGTGACAACACTTGAGGGGACGATATGAGTTCTGACTCTTAAAATATCCAGACAGTCACGTTTCTATACTTACCTCCATGACCAGAAAAACAGAGTTGGGTGTTTCCTGGAAGAGAAGTGAAGAGAGACGGAATCAGTTACAGAAGCCATTTTTCCTGGAGCAGCTGTCAGCTCCACCACACAGCCATGTGCAAACAACCACTGACTAAAATCCACAGCACATGACAGCACCACCATTTATGAAGACCCTGGCTTTTTCTGAATGTATGTTTTTACTTGCAGCTTAGTTGTAGTTAATACATGTCCATATTACAGAAGAAAATAACCTTAAATCAACACAAAACACTGACAAAATGTTAAAAACATTGGCAACAGAATCATTATGGAACTTGTTTCAGTGTAAAGCAGGGGTGTGAGTGGGTGGCAACAGCCAAAGGCTGAGTTGAAAATCCATTTTAAAAGTAATCAAGTTGTAAATATGCTTGTAGAAAGTGAGGAATGTTATTTAGTTAAAGACAGTGTAACTACATTTCCATAAAAAGGGTTGCTGTTTAAGGCCTATATCAAAATGGTGGCATGGCTAAGTGGTTAATGCTGAAAGGGTAATTTCCACAAAGGAGTTCAAATGACTGTTACCAGCACATGAACTTTGAATGAAAGGTTCTTGTCCTAAAGACAGTTGTGGTATGCAGTGATTTTGTGCTGTGTAAATGAACTGTCCGCAAGTTGTACCAGCAGCAGGGTTTGTATTTGTTTGACCAGTCAGCGTTGCTGACCACTGCCAACTCTCTAATACTTCCCGTACTATCAAAAATAGGGACTTTTGGGGCCAGAAACTATTGCAAAAATATGACATTGGT